AGCCATCGATCAATGCACGACACATTCGGTTAGCCATGTGAACTAGGCCCTAGGAAACAAAACAAAAGCGACGTAATGAGAGAAAGTGGGCGGATCCTTCCATTGTTTTTAATTGCGGACCGTGATCAATTTTTTTTTCTGGATAAACTGAAATCGCCTTGGGATGTCACATTGACATTGATCAATCATTTTCTCCGATAAAAATTTGGGGAGGCTGCTTCTATAAAAGTTTCACATTTCGGCAATAAAGATATCTAAATTTAACGAGGCAGCCTTGAACGACGAAAGCGGCAATTCATTGTTTATTTAATTATATTGTTAATAAGAGTCGCGCATTTGTTGCTTAATAAAGAAAGAATACTTTGATAAATATGGCGCTTGACGTCACCGAATACCGCGTTTGATAATGAATATTTTTGAGTCGTGTCACGGTGGATTATTAAAACGGATATTAGATATTTGTTTGTGTTTTCTTTCGCCCCCCTTTTCGCCCATTTCCATACACTTTTTTCGGAGAAGGGAGGAATCGATAAATTTCTACACGCTAATGCGAGAGTACTTTCTTCTCCGCGGATATTGGAATTTATTGAGCCTTCGAAATAGGTACAGTGTCCCATGTTCGACACTTTTTAGCGTATATCTGTAATTGTTAGTGCTATCAAAAAAGTAATATAAGCGTCATGCACAGGGTGGTTCAGATTCGTGGCTCTCCGTAACGGTAAGATACAGTGTAGGTTAAATGGGGACAAAGTTGTCCCTTTTTGTGACTAAATATTTGAAAAAATTTTTGGTTTCTCAGGTTCTCTGAAAAAAGTGCCCATAGAACGTATTAACGGGAACCCTCCATTAAAGCTATTGAAAATGAAATATGACATGTTCAGTTTTTCGGCGATTCCTTTTTTTGAAAAAAAAGAGGCAGTTGTGCCTCCATTTAGCCCACACTGCATCTGTCACCGTTACAGAGCCACGAATTTGAACCACCCTGTACACTTTTTAACTTAAACTTGAAATGGTAAAATCATAATGTCAAATTTTTTTCTAAATATACAGGGTGAGCTAAAAGTTATCGAACCTAACCTCATTTTTTAAATGGAACACCCCGTAGATTTTATGCTAAAAAAAATAGTATTTTCATTCCCTTTTCCAAAACATAACACTAAACTTTCAAAAAAATTCAATATTGGTTCAAAAAGATTGTAAAAAAAATTCGGATTTTTTGAATCATTTTTTCAATTTTTTTTTTAAATTCCTGTTTTGAATATTATCCCTAGTATGTTGTATTTTTAAAAAGAATTTAATATGCTATCTTTTTAAATTACAATATACAGGGTGTGCCAAATAATGGGACTAGATCCGAGAACTTTTTTTGCTAACCCCGTATATTATTGAACAATCATTATCACTTTAAAGAGACTTTTGTAATATTGTAATATTTTTCTGGTCATGCTGACCTTGGCAATACTTTTATATTTTCCCCCGTTTCTCTTAAGCGAGCGAAAATTTTCAAATTTTGATTTTACCATTTTAAGCAAGACCAACAAAGCACATGAGCGCATATATTATTTTTTGATAGCATTACGGAGATATCTTATTTAAGTTTATCATACTGAAACTATTTTGCTACAATTACGGCTGTATAATATTCCAAAAATATTCGCAAAAATTACCTCATTTGTTAAATTATTTTGAAGTATTTATATTATGGTTCTAGAATATTCTACAATGTACAGGGTGTTACGAAATTCGCGCCCACGGATAATGAGAGCTTAATCCTGAGACAAAACTAAATACAAACCCAAACACGTTTGAGATCAGACAAATACTTTTCAACATGTCCAAACACATGCAGTGACAGAAGCACATGGTGGACATTTTGACAGCTATTAATTAATTATTAAAATTTTTCATTTCTTTCCAATTCTCTTTGTGAAAAGTATTTGTCTAATTGCAGTGTAATAGGGTTTTCTACTCAGTTGTCTCAGAATTAAAGAACCATTGTTCGTGGACGCGAATTTGGTAACACCCTGTATCACCACTGCCATCATTCGTGTATCTAAACGGAAGATCTTTTCGTATACTGGACCCGCCAGTACCAACGTTCTACCGCAAAAAGGTAAGTCCTGAGAACTTTCGTGTACAAACGATTTCATGAGAATCAACAATTTTCCTTTACTAGGGGGAGGGAGGATTACCCTCTCTTCTACTACGATGTTACCCCAAACCCTTAGTGTCTCTTAGTAGTCACCCTATACATATCGAGGGGGGGGATGCAAGTATACAATATGATGATTGTAGGTAAATGATCAACGAATGTTCCTTTACTGTGGAGAAGAGGGTATTACCTCCCCCATTTACATACTCATATACATGAAGTCTTTATAATTTACCCTACAGACCCCCCCATTTGAGACCATTGAACAGAATACTTTTTGAAATGACCACTAAAGAGCAGTATTCATATAGAGTAACATTATGGAACAGGGGGTAAAGGGGGGAATACCACCTTCCACTAATAAAGGAAAATTCATTCATTCTTTCCCTACAGTCATAATTATACTGAAGTGACTTCATGAGAATCAACAAATTTTCCTTTACTAGGGGGAGGGGGATACTACTCCCTTTTCTATTACGTTTCCCCAAACCATTAGTGTCCCATAATAGTCACCCTATAAGTATAAAGAACACATTCGTGTAAGTATACAAATGGGAGGTAAAACCCTCCTCTCCATATTACCATGTGGTGATTGCAGGGAAATTATCAACGAATTTTTCTATACGAAATATTCATTTGTATGGAGTATGAAATCATGATAATAGAGAAATGATCTCAACAAATTTTCTCTTACTGGGAGAGGGAGAAGGGGGGGGGGGGTTATTACCTCCATTTGTATGAATGAAGTCTTCGTAATACTGAGCGGTATTACAGAATACTTTTTGAAATGACTACTACAGGACAGTAATAGTATGGTACCAGGGGGGAGGGGGCGTCAAGGTGGTAATACTCCCTCCCTCTAAAGAACAAATTGATTGATGCCATCACTATTATACTAAGTCTATGGTATGAGTATACAAATGACTTTATAAGGGTGATGATTGTTGGAAAAGAATCAACAAATTACCAGGAGAGGGTATCGCCCCCCCCCTCCCCACCCTTTTGTATACCTACTCATATCAATTAAGCCGGCTCGTGTGGCGCAGTTCAGTTAAAGCTGGACTCTGGTGCTAAGGGCCCCGGTTCGAATCCGGGTTCGGGCATTTGTAAATGGTATAGTGGGTTGGGTTGGTAGAGCAGCCTTGGCTGAAACCCCGCCCACTCAAAAATGAAGTCAAAAATAAAAAATCTTTGTCATTACTAGCGGTGGGGGATGTATCAGTATTCAAATGATTTTATGATCATGCTGATTGTCGAGAATCAACAAATTTTCCTTTACTAGAGGGGGGAGGGGGGTATTACCTCCCATTTGTATATTCCGATGAATGAAGTCTTTGTAATACTGGGGAGAATGGCGTGGTGGGGACTATTGATCAGAATACTTTTTGAAATGACCACACGACAGTAACCATATAGGGTAACATTATAGAACAGGGGGGTAATTATACCCCTCCCACCATGCGGTAATGATAATTGTAGGGAAAAGATTAACGAATTTTCTTTTACTGCAGGAGAGGAAGTATTCTCCTTTTGATGGTGGATTTTTAAATTTTTTTTAAAAAATCAATCAAAAATTAAAAAACAAAGACTCAGACTTTAAATGCGAGGTCGAATAGATTCTAGCAAGTGCAGAGAGGGGATTCACACACCTTTGATATGCGTAAAAATTAAAAATTGAAGATCTAGTAAAAAAAAGAGTATTGCTTAGAATTGGATATATAAATTGAGGGGGGGGGGGGGCAGTTTTTCTTTGAGAATGTGAATTTCACCCAAAGAAATTACAGAGCAATTTGATACGCTGCACCCTGCATCACCCTGTACATTACAAGAAACAGTAAAAGAGAGCTACCTCAACTTTAAGTGTCTAAATTCGGTAAAGATACTTACAGTAGAAAACCGGGCAGTAGAGTGGATCCACACAGACTGGGGGATGCGTTCGTACTTCCGTCACAAGCGGATAATTAGGCTATAGTCGATCAATAACACTAAATAATGCGTGAGGAATGTAATTATTTTTATCTACCTTCCGTCTCAATTACATGCGGTACTTACAATTACATTTAAGCAAGCGTACGACAGAAAGAACTGTCACACTAGGACTCAATTTTCCTTTACAAGGGGGATTACCCACCCCCCTATTCTATGTTTGGTTACCCTATATGAATAGTGTTTTAGTCCTCGCCGCATACATTTCAGAAAATCTGCCGTTCAGTGGTCTTCACCGGGGGGTACGGAATGCCCGACCAATATACAAAGACTAACAAAAGAAATTCTTGACTCGATGAAATTTGGTTTCTAGTGTCCGTTGGGTCCTTTACTTTCGTTTTATTTTCAAAATCAAGATATCTTTGTTTAACGGTGAAAAGAATAAAAAAGAAATTCAAAATGGGGCATTCTTTTGCGAACAGCCCCCAAATGAAGTATTTCAGTTTGAAAAGAAAATCCTACTTACCCGTCTCGTTCATATATCAACAATTTCGCGTACAAGAATTTGTTCGACAGTTCAGAAATTACAGAGCACCTTGTATATTATAAGAAAGCAGAGCCACCTCTCAACTTGAAGTGTCTAAATTGGCTACTTACAGTTGAAAAGCCGGCGTTACGGCGGGTCATCACAGACTGGGGGATGTGTTCGTGTTTCCGTCACAGATCGATCAATAACACTAAATAATGAGTGAGGAAAGTAGTTATTTATATCTACGTTTCATCTCAATTACCTGCGGTACAACTACTCTTAATTTAGTCGAATTATCAGTGTTTTCTACCGACACAAAAATAGAAATCGTTTAAGCACGTGTGCGACATAAAGAACCATCACCCTTGGACTGATTAGACTAAGGTGCCTTACCTTCGGTGTAGCAGACGGCGTGTGATGAATGAACGTAGTGCGAGCTTTAGTCGTATCGGAACTAAGTTTGGCAGGCGTTTTAGCACCAGTTGTGGGGTCAGTACCGCGCGTCACTTCCAGACTTTCGGGCACCGTCTGTAGAGTGGATCGCATGGCAGTCGACATGGTCCCCACCCGTCACTCTCGGCCCTCTTCACATTACCTACATTTCGGGAAAACGTGTAAGCACTTCGTTTGCCCAATTAACGATTAAATGCACACTTCCTTTCTCGAGAAGGTACCTCGCCCCTTGCCATCCTGTCCCCCCTTATCAATCAAAATTGACGTTAAAGTCGGCGTTTGGGCTAGCAAAACTGAACAGGTGGAAATAAGGCGAGTGACCCCCATTTGATGACTCACACAGACACACACACAAAAGTTGTAAGTTTCCAATAAAAGAGCCGCTAATTACCTTGGCGATTGAATACACGGAAGTCAAAGGTTAAGCCAGATAAGGGGAAATTGTCAAATACACCACCACCCCTAAACTGAAAGGTTGAATGTACGATTACTTAAAAATAATCAATTTTAAACCGCACTTCCTTGTTTGTTAATAATTAATTATGAGCAGCCTCTATTTTTATTTAGGCCCGAGAACAAATGACCTTTTTTTTTATTCATGGCAAGCGGTAAGGAGAAAGCGATCTCCAGTTTTGGGGTGCTATTCTCGTCTTGATTCGCGTCGAGCGGGTTTACTTACGCGGACGGGGGCCACTTTTATAAATAATCGCATTGGGCACTTACCAAATTATAACACTCTCGCCACTTTATAATCCACCAAAATAAAACACACACCTCATATGAGCATAGTTTTACGTTTAACAAAATGGCCGAAATCCCGTACTTTAACGCGCGCGTCAATCAACGACCGATCTCCTTGCGGTTTTCGTGTGGAAAGCTAACGGGGAACTCCGCGAAGCATGTCGTAGACGTGCACGGTACGAATGACGTCATTGACAAGGTTGTTTGGGACGGCGCAAGCGTGACATTTTTTGTCGAAAATTAATAATTTGGGACTAGCAAAGCTCGGGTCGCATTCTTTTGGGCCGATTAATCTTAAAGACCCATTCAGGGAATTGGGAAACGCTTCCAAGTAAAATGGAAAAATAGCATAATCTCATTTGGGGGGCACTAAGCGCCATCTCTTTTTCTGAAGTGGTACCACTCTTTGTTACGTAAGCAATTGGTGACGCAAATTTTGCCGTGTCGTCTGGGAATTATGAAATATCTCCCAGCAAAGGAAAACTAGATAATCCTTTCCCTTAAACCCTCAGTTAAATATGGCGGCTTTCTCAAAATTATAATGGAAGTGTTGTTGGTAGCACAAGGGCGGTATTCCAGACCACCCTGTATCACTCTCGCCCACAGAACATACTTTCAGGACACTTCTTGGGAAAGGATTATTAGTCCAGGAAATAGAGACTCAAAATGGACCATTTCCTGCAAAACGAGAAGTAGTTCCAATTGTTTTTGCATGTCATGAAAAAATATCTGGTGGTTAAGAATCCAAGTTTTCGACCTCTCACCCCCTGTGCTTCCCCCCGTACCACCCTTAAAACCAAAGAAATTTGGTTGGTTTTTTAGTTTTTCAATCATATCTTTTTATAGATCCATTTTACAAAAAAATATTGTTATCAGAAATTGTAGACTATAAAATTCTACACAACGTTCATATACACTACTTTTTTGTGAAATGTTTATTAAAAACGGTATAGAGCTTCAGAGTTGCTTATATTTTTAAGAAGTCTGAAATTTCTATGTAGATGTTTTAACCAAATTTTATACTTTATCTCTATAATTAAGAGTTTTATGAGAAAATATCTTGAACTTATCGTGGTATAAATCCCCTACGCTGCACCCTTACCAAAGGGGATGCATAATAATTCAACTTTCAACCCTTGCTAGTGGGGATATTTGAATCACTGTGAGATTGTAGGGCTTTCTAATATACGTTTGAAACAAAAAAATTATCTTACTTCAGTTCAGCTTCATCCTTAAAAGCCTTCATCCCCCCCCCCTCCCCAACCGCGGGAGGAATAGATATTTAAAGAGGAATAGAACACAGGGGCACTGAACTGAATTGAGACAATTTTTTTAGTTTCAAAAGTATATTAGAAAGCGCTACAATCTCACAGTGATTCAAATATCCCCAGCAAGGGTTGAAAGTTGAATTATTATGCATCACCTTTGGTGAAGGTGCAGGGTAGGGGGGTTTATACCACGATAAATTCAAGTTTTATCTCATAAAACTCTTAATTATAGTGTAAAAGTATGAAATTTAATTAAAACACCTACATAGAAATTTCAGAATTCTTAAAAATATAACCAACTCTCAAGCTCTATATCTTTTTTAATAAACATTTCAAAAAAAAGTAGTGTATATCAAAGTTGTGTAGAATTTTATGGTCTACAATTTCTGATAACAATATTTTTTTCTAAAGTGAACTATTAAAAAGATACGATTGAAAAACTAAGAAACCAACCAAATTTCAGGGGTTTTGGGGGTGGTACGGGGGAAGCACAAGGGGTGGGAGGTCGAAAACTTAGATTCTTAACCACCAGATGACTGTCTATGACATGCAAAAGAAATTGGAACTACTTCTCATTTTGCAAGTTAAAACCCTCTATTCCCTGGACTATATCAGATCCCCCTTCTCCTAAAAAGCGCCGCAGAGAATATGTACTCGTAGATCTGGGAGTCTGGAGGGTACGTAATGCTCCCCTGCAAAGAAAGACTTGCTAACCTGTTCCCTAAACCTTTTGTACTATCATATATGGTAGTTTTCTGGAAGTGGGAATAGAAGTGTCGTGTGCTGGGGGTTATTCCGTACCCCCAAACCCACGGTATCACTTTCCCCTGCAAAACGTTATAGCACTCTCATGGCGATTTTTGGGAAAGCTCTTTTCCTACAATGACCGTACACACCTGGGGTTTTAGAATACCCCCAGGTAGATTTCCCAGTCAATGAGGTCTCGGCAACTCTTTTCCTGCAATCCTCAGTACTTTTATCATAGTTTTCTGGAAATGGAAATGGATGAGCTGTGATACTGTCCCCCATAGAACGTTTAGCCCACATGACTCTTATGACAGTTACAAGATAATCACACCTTCTTCCCCAATTATAAATTATGCAGAGAACATAGATCCAGGAGGTCTATATAGTAATACCTACTCCTCAACAAAGAAGGACTCGACAATCCTTTGCTCGCATTACCGTCAGTACTTTCATGGTGGTTTTGTGGAAATGATAGAAGTGTCTTGTGATGGACTTTATTTCATATACCCCCTGACGCAAACAGAAAACGTAAGACCCCCTTTCCTTGGTTTCTTTGGTACACAGTCAATCCCCCCCCCCCCCCGGCGTTCTAAATTGTTGTCTCTGATCAAGGTGTCTCAGTGCCGTAGAACCTGCATGTGAGCTCCCCTTCAAGCCCAATGTTGTGACAGTTGACCATCCACCATCCCATAAGAACCTCGATGATCTTCCTAATCTCGACTCTATTCAGATTTAGATACTTAAAAGAATCAGTGATTAGCCCAGAGGCCCCGATAAAAAGACCATCGACTATCTGAGTCACCCGGTCTTTAATCCTGGATCTCAAAACTGAAAGAAAAATTCCTAGGATAGGCTCAGGTCCTCAGGGATCACGCCACGTGGCTGTCACGTATACAGGGAAGGGAATTTTTCTCAAATTTAAACCATGTCAATGCATTCCTATAGGCAACAAACATTACACGTAGCAAATGAGTGTTGCTTTTAAAACCCTGTCTCCTTCAAGAATTATATTAAATCTCCCGAAACACGTTTTAAAACTCTTCTCGAATTTTGAGACCCCCTATCGACGCTTTCAGTTTTGTAATAAGCACAAAATTAATCAAATACGCGCTCGGCAGTACGTGTAAAGTTGGTTGCCTATTATCATCTGTTTGATGTATTGACATGGTTTTTTTACCACCCGCACGTTAGTGACGGAGTAAAAATAACCACCCGCTTTTTTTACGGTTTTGAAGCACCAGGAAACCGAATCAAACAAAATCTGGATGATGTCAGTGTGTCTGTCGGTCTGTCTGTCTGTCTGTTGGTCTGTCTATCGGCTTGTCTGTCGGTCCGTCTGTCGGTCCGTCTGTCGCCCTGTCTGTCAGTCTGTCGGTCTGTCTGTCGGTCGGTCGGTCTGTCGGTCGGCCTGTCGGTCGGTCTGTCTTTTTGTCTTCTGTCTGTCTGTCTGCCTGTCGGTCTGTCTGTCGATCTGTCTGTCGATCTGTCTGTCTGTCTGTACGGAATATCTTTTAGTAATACTTCCCGCAAAAAAGACTTGATGTCTCCGTGTAACCCTCGCAACTTTCATGGTGGTTTTATGGAAATGGCAGTAGAAGTGCCGTCTGCTGGGGAGTATTGTCCCCAGATTCTCCGGTATCACTTTCAGTTACACCACGATTTTGCCTCAATCATGACAGTTTTCGTAAAAGGATTATAAGATATTAATAAGTATAGTGCAGAGAACGCAGATCCCAGTGGTGTGAAGGGTACGGAACACTCTCCCTCCCCCCTCCCTCCCCAACGTTTAGCCCATAGGGCTCGCTCCTGGAAAAAGATTATCAGATCTTGTACTCCTAATAAGTACTGCAAAGGATGTAGATTCGGGGGTGGTTTCTGGAAATGGAAGTGATGTGTGCTATAACTTTCCCCCTCAAAATGTTTCTCCCTCAAAACTCTTATGACAATTCTTGGACAATGATTATTAAATTCTCTTCGAGCGTAGGGGTGGGGGTATCAGTTGCTACGCAACACTTTCCGGCCTTGTGATGTAATAGATCACTTTCCGGACTCAAATGAATGATGTAATATGTACCTACTGTATAGCGGACAGTATGAAATAATAGTTATTTATATAAAAGTCAGAAAAATGACGCATTACTGGCGAGGAAATATCGAAGTACAGGGCCCCTTTGGGGTCGAGTACTTTAATTTCCGAGTTTTGTATTAAATTTTACCCGAAATCGTATTTTAATATAAAATTTCAATTTTTATATAGAACTTTTGATTGATGTCAATCTGTTAGTGATGACAAGAGTCATTATAGACATTTGGAAGTATCCC